GCTGCCCAGGGTGGGGGGAAACGCATGCGAGAGCAACCACTGGGTCTTCGGTGGAGCTCCCTATGGGGCCACGAAGCGCTGCCCAGGGTGGGGGAACGCATGCGAGAGCAACCACTGGGGCCTTCGGTGGAGCTCCCTAGGGGCTACGAAACGTGTGAGAGGTGTGCCGAGATCAGAGGCAAGGAGGGGGAGGAGGGAGGAGGGGGAGGAGGAGGAGGAGGAGGAGGAGGAGGAGGAGGAGGAGGAGGAGGAGGAAGGAGGAAGGAGGATGGAGGAGGCAGGTGGGACGCGGGGCGCTGTCTCTTCAAAACGAGGACCCAACACCACAGGATGGTTGGGAAAAACACACAGACACAATTTATTTTCGATTTCCCAGAAAATATAGGAACATATGGGAAGGGGGGGGAAGTCAAACATCCAGAAGATATGGGAAGATATGGGGAATGATGTTATTTGTATGTATTTATGTGTGTGTGTCCCAGGGTCCCTTTAATACGGTTGGTTCGCGTGTTGAACCGACATGATGGCGTTCCCGCTGCGGGCGTTCGAAGTTGAACGCCGCCAGTGGCCCAGAATCGGTCGTTACAGAACGATATTGCGATCGGAAAGTCGGAAAGTCTGGCCTCTGAGCCCTCTTGGGCCGTCTTGGGAGGCTCTTGGGCCGTCTTGGTGCCCCTCTTAAAGGCTAGAGGCCCTGTGGGCTGTCTCAGAGCGACCTGGCGGGCCCTCGGGGCCGTTTTTGGGCGCTTGAAGCTAGAAGCAACGAGAACGCTGAAATCCTTCAAACCTGAGGAGCGTACTCCAGATTTCGTAATACAGGGAGGGGGGTCTCATTTCGGGGGGGGTCTCGTCCAAGCTACCTTGGAGGGCCTGGGGGGGTCCGGGGACGATGTTTTGGAGGGTTCTCCCACGGGGGGGGGGGGGTCTGAAATGGCTTGTCTTGGAGGGTCCAGGCCCCCTCCCTTTGATTACGAAATCTGGAGCACGTGAACTTTGCACCTCGGCGCGCTCCTGCGGGGTCCCCTTGGGGCCCTCTGGGGGCGATCTGGAGGCCTCGGGCTCCGGCTCCGTCGTGGGGCCAGGCTGGGCGTCTTCGGGCGCTTTTGGGCCGTCGGATTGCAAAAAAAGCCCGAAGGATTGCGAAAAAACCCTCGTTTGAACGAAGGATTGCAAAAAACCCCTTCGTGCAATCCTTCGTGCAATCCTTCGTTTTTTTGTTGTTGCAATTCTTCGTCTCGGATCCTCTTTGACTCTTTTGGGAGCTTCCTTCGGGGTGCCCTCAAGCGCGCGCCCAGGTAGTTCTGGCATCCGGGGCGCGGACCGCCCGGGACTTGCCCGGAGGCTTGTTCCTCCTGGGGTTTCGTGGGTTCGATGCGGCATTTCGTGCCATGGGGCTCGTTCGATGCGATGGCCGCCCCGTCGGCAGCCGATGCTGCCACCTGCGTGTCCATGCCGAAGTGGTCACCCTCGCACGTCCACCTACTCAAGCCATTTTTTTTTTTTTTTGTTCTCTCTCTCTCTCTCTCATGTAGCGGAGATGCAGCGCCGCGCCCTCTCCGGGGCCGTCACGCGCGTGCGGAGTTTGTACAAACACCAGGGCGGGAACCCGAGATTCCAGTACACCTCTGGTCACTTGGGCCTATGAGTTTTCGTCGACTGCACATTGCTTGCTCCTGGTATCTGCTTGGCCGGTGTGATTGGGATACATGTGCCAGACCTGATGGCACAAAGAAAGGGGGACCGACCAACGTTGGCGGCGAAGGCGCTTGACGGCTTAAACAGGTCTGACAGGTTATGCGTTTCCTTCTCCTTCCTCCCCTTCCCCCCGCTGTCGTGGAAGTTGAATCGTACTGTCGTGGAAGCTCAGGTCGAGGAAGTTCAGGTGGCATGGCCAGGCCTAGGAGAAGTGGTTTTGTCATACGCGTCGATGGCAGGTCCGCAATGAGCTATTTTGGTTTCAGTGTTGTCGGCCACAAGCTTTAGTCTTCAGTGCACAGTCGCCTCTCAGCGTATCGTCTCCAGAGATGGCCCGTGTCGTCGGACTCATTTGCCTGTTTCATTCGTTTACTCCGCTTTTGGCAGAAGATGGGGCCGTGGTTTTCGTCGTCGATCCCAGCTGGGACTGCGTGGAGAGCTACGTGGCTCACGTACCTCTGCTGCAGAAGTACAAAATTGTCAAGGTCATGACACGTCTTGGGACTGCACCCCCGTGCAAACAGGGCCACGCCGAGATCTACAGGAACTTCACCTTTAACTCGGCGACCCCGAACGACTCCGCTGCCGCCGAAGGCATCTGCCCCGAGTTGCTGAGCTTGGGCGTTCCTGTCAGGGCTGTCATCCCGACGCACGACCCTGCGGTGTACCTGGCGGACCAGCTCGCGGCTTGTGTAGGAGTACGGGGGAACCCGTCCGAGGGGCCTTTGGCGAAGGCCAGACGCGACAAGTGGGTCATGGGCGAGGCCGTGCGTAAGGCTGGGCTCCGCGCTGTCCACGAGAAGGTCGTCTCCACGTGGAGCGAGGCGAAAGCGTACCTGCAGTCTTTGGTTCGCAGCGCTTGGCGTGAGCACGTCTGGACAGGCTCTGCCTGCATTCCCCCTCCTTGACGTCCCCCGTGGCCTCCCCATCCTTGAAGGAGTAGAGCAGAAGGAGGAGGAGGAGGAGGAAAGGGAGAAGGGAGGGAGATGGGGGTGGGGAAGTCAAGGGAGTGGAGACGAGCGGAGAAGCAGAGGAGGACATGGGAGAAGGAGTCAAGCTGTCCTCCTTTCCGACGAGTTTGTATATTTCATGACCTGGGTGCCTGGGCCGCTTTCTCATTCCATCTTGTTGCTTCTTGACGGCCCCGGGGCCCAGAAACGGTCTCTGGAGGCCAGGGGTGACGAACACTTGGTCGTCGCGTCTTGTTGTTGTGTGGGGACGCCTGCATTCGAGGGCCCGCCCGTGATTCGTCGATGTCCAAGCAGAACTTCGCCCAGGGCGAGTCTTGGCTCGGGAGTCTCGGGTACGGTCGCACCGAGGTAGAAGATCGAGGTCGGCTCGGGGAGGGCACGTCAATCTTCTTCGTGCTTGTTGGATGTTCTTGTGCATCCTGGGGGTGGGCACCCTCGAGTGAGCTCCTGTTTGTGGGTGTCTTGTCTGGCGGAGAGTCTCATGCTCTTGAGGGATGCTCCTCTGTCCTATGTTTAGGTCGAGCATGTCACAATTCAAACGTATTCAAAATACATTTAAACACGTCTGAAGATACAAACACAGCGTCCCCATCATTTTGTTTTACTACTTTTCAATATTCCCCTTGTAGAGGGACACGCCCACCTTAATCGTAGGTCCGGTTGTAGGCTTGGTGAGTCCCTAGGGTCAGTCTTGCCTTTCGGGGGGCGCGCTGTCTGGGGGCCATCCTGGGCCGTCCGTCGATGCCCGTCCCCGCTCCCCTTGGCATCGCTCGGACGTGTGCGTTTTTTCTCGTCGAGGTCCACCGATCAGTCTCGTTGAACCGATCCCTATCCCCATCCCCCGTCCACATCTCGAGCCCCACCGTCTCACCACTTTAGTTGGGGATTTGCCTCTCGAAACCCGAAGAGAGCAGCCTATATCCCCATCAGGGGGGTAAATCGGTCAGTAGGGCCGAGCCCACGCTGGTGGGGATGGGGATCGGTTAAACGATGCTCAATCGAGAAACTGTTTGAGTCATCCTGCGAGAAATACACGCGCCAGACCGAAAAACTCACGGAGAATGGATGTCCGGGCGATGGCGAGTCCCGAGAGGGGTAGGGGGCGGGGAGGACACATCTACAGTCGGACCAAGACAGAAGGTCGAGGTCGGTTCGGGGAGGGTGCCCGACTGTTTTTCGTGTTTGTTGGATGTTTTTGTGCATCCTGGGGAGGGTACCCTTGGATACTCTGTGTTTTGACCGGCGGAGGGTCTCATGTTGTCCATGCCAGCTGCTCTGGGGACGTGCCCCCGAGGACCTCCGGCAGCGCTGGATATAGGTAGGTGCAGTTTTCTTGTCCTGCGCGGGCCGGAGACGTGTCCGTCCCAACAGGTCCTCCTGGGTGCGACATGTGTATTTCTAGAGATATGTCAAAGTGATGGGGCCGAACGGTCATTCACTGTCCCTTGTCATTCGTCTCCTCCTACTCCGCACAGGCACTGAATCGCCATGCGTATGTTGCAGCTTGTTCCCGGTCCTCTCAGAGGGCCAGCGCGCTACAGGCGCGCCTGCCTCCCTTGCAGGGACGCCGGCCCTTCCCGGCGACGGCGGTTTCGTTCGTTCGTTCGTTTGGCGCGTGGTTGAAGGGAGATTCCGTGGTGCGGATTGCTGTTGCGTTGTTATCGTCGTCCTCGCCCGCGATCCCCCCGCGACCCACCCCGCGACCCACCCCGCACCGGCCCCCTCCCTCTTATTGGCAACTGCTAAGGGCGCGCCGTGTCCACGCACCTCCCCGCCAATCAGGGAAGCCCCCAGGACGAGCCAAACGTTGGTGCCCAGAGTCGGCGGCGACCGAGGGGGGAGGTGAGAAGGCGAAGGTCCTCTCAGAAGGCGGCGGGGCCTGTCAGAAGCCTTGCGGCCTTCTGGGAAGCTTTCTGTGTCTCCAGGGAAGGCTGAGAACACTCTTCAGAAGGCCGGGGGATCTCCGAGCCTTCTGAGGAGGCCTGCTCCCTCGCACTTCCCCCCCGGGCTCGCCGCCGACAGAGGGATCGGCGGAATCCGCCTCTGTCCCCTGCCAACCCTGTCATCTTCAAGATCCTCGAGGGGTCTAGCAGCGAGGGCGTGAACAAAGTGTACAGCCTCGAGCAGGCCGAGGGCATATTCAGTGCCGATACCAGCGGCGACAGTCACTTTGGAAGCAGGATCAAGAAGCTGCTCATACAGGAGTTCTTGCAAGGCGACGAGTACGTTATCGACTCTGTCAGTCGCGACGGAGTGCATAAGGTTGTCACGGTCTGGAACGAAGAGCTCCATCCAGGGAATGGTGTCTTAGATTTGTATTACGGCTTCAAATCCATGGAGCCGCAGGACCACAAGATCCAGGCCATCATCGAGTATGCGAACAAGGTGCTCGATGCCACTGGTCTTCAGAATGGTGCCTCGGACATGGAGGTATTTTGGCTCGAGAAGGAAGGCAGACCTTGCGTCGTGGATTTGAACGGTCGCTGGACTGCTCTCATGTGGCACGACGGCCTGGCCCTCGAGAAGGAGACCGTTGGAAACGACCAGATCACAGCGACCATCAACGCGTACCTCGACGGAGACGCCTTCGAGGAAATGCCGCTTGTCCCGTCTATGAAGCAGCACGGCGCGATCATTTTCACAATGGCTCGCCAAACAGGCTTTCTCAGGGATATTCCAGGGCTGGCAGTTGCGAAGGAGCTGCCTTCGTATTCGGGTAGCTACAATGATGGAATGTTCGTGGGCACGTTGATTGACAAGCTCCCCACCAGTCACCCTTGCCTCTTCATCCTGCTCGCTCACAGGGAGAAGGCCGTGGTGGATGAAGACTACGATCGCATCATCGGCCTGGAGAATTCGGGCGCTTGGTTTGACATCAGGCAGTTGCCAGGGAACACGTCGCTCACAGCGTTGCGATCAAACTTCGACGGTTTGCCAGGCCAGCGGCTGCCAGCGATTGCTGCGTTAGCGATGCTCGCAGTTGCAGCCGTGTTCGCCCTCGTCGCAATGTCGATGCAGAAGGTCCGAGATGGCACAGAGTATCTGGCAATTTGATGGACACTCGCTGTTTTCTTGGGACAGGGCACAGAAGAGTGAACCATTGTAGTTTGTCGCGTCGGAGTGCCGAGTGCATGTTTGCCTACAGGGGTTCACTCGAGAATAGTTGGTCTGACAAAGGCTGACTCTTCGTCGTGCTTCGCATTTCTGTTCTGTCTGGGAGTCTGCATGAGTCTCTGGCACAGACTACATTTTCAGGCTTGCGTGCAAGGTTCCCGAATCAAGGCCACATAACAGCACAACGTCCGTGTCATGATACATTAGACGTGGCATGGTCAGGTCCTCCCTTGTGGGAGCTGTTCTTGGAACAGTTCTTGCAGGGGTGGGCGGCATGTGAGGTATATGCCAATCTACGTGCACTCGTGGACGCTGTGCAGGCCCCATCCTACGCACTCTCCTTCTTGGGTCCCAGCGGATGGGCCCATCCGCCGTTATCCAGTGGCCTTCACCTCGTCCCGTCACCTTGCTAGAGGGAACGCTCGAGAGGAGCACACCATTCCCAGCTATAGAGAGCCCCAATGAGCATGGGTGGGAACATCGGTTTCAAAGGATGTCTTGTGGTGCGCCCAGGTGGCATGTCAGAGGGGGCGAGTCTTCTCAGAAGGCTCGGAAGCCTCAGGGCTTCTCAGAAGTTTTAGAAGCCTTCTCCCACGCCACCGAGCGCTTGCTTCTCGGAAGGCGGGACTGCTTCTGAGAAGCCCCGCGGCCTTCTGGGACGGCCTGTCCCGCCTCACTTCCCCCCCCCCCGGCGCGCCGCCGATTCAAGGGATCGGTGTCTCCCCCACCTTCCCCCAGCCTTTCCACCTCTAACGCCTGGCATCGCTCGGACGTGTGCGTTTTTTTCTCAGCGAGGACCATCCTGGACCATCGAGCAAAACAAGAAACACGCGCGAAACCGAAGCATGCACGGGAAATAGACGCCCGAGCGATGGCGAGAACGGGCTACTGCCCATTCAGCTCCGACCGTCCCTTGGATGCCGCAGGAGCGTGCCGTGTCGCTCTCGGGGGCCTATCGCCGATGGTCTGGCGACGCACCGCCAAGTACAGGGGGCCGTTTCCTTCTCCCTTTCCCACCCCCCTTCCGCCCCACCCCCCCCTCTTCACCACCCACTCCTTTACCTTCTTTCCCCCTCGGGGTCTGAGGCACACTCGTCACGCAGGCACAATTTTGTTTTTTAGTCCGCGGGGCGCGCAAGGGTGGTGCGAGAAACGGCCAAGAGCGCGCATTGGTCCAAAAGCGAGCGGCGGGCCGCACTGGAGGTGAACATGTTTTCGCGTCGTGGAGCTGCGCTGTTTACAGGCCGATGGTTCCTTCTCTTGAGCCGTTTCCTTCTCCCTTTTCCCGTCCTTTACCCCTCCCCCATCCCCATCCCTTTCCTTTACCCCTCTTTACCCATCCTTTCACCCCAACCTCATCCACTCCCCCTTCGCCCCTCTCCCTTTCCTTCCCCCTCCCTCCCCCCTCCTTCACATTTATTCACCCTCAGGGCCTGAGGCACACCACTCACGGAGGCGTTTTTGTTTTTTTTTTCTTTTTTTTTTCCGCCCTACCAGAGTTCGGGCGAAATTCGGGTCTTCGGGTTGGGTTGGGATGGCCTGGTAGGTAGTCATGTGTGCATCTATCTGCATGGACATTTCCACCGTGGGTGCCTAGGCGGAAGAGACTCATCATACAAAAGACTTGGGTCTTGCTAGACTGGGAGCGGGTCTAAGCGTGAACGAGCTGGAGCGTGAAGACGTCTCAGTCGTACGAGCGAGTCTGTGTGCATGAGCCTGGGGCCTCCTGGGGCCTCCTGGGGCTTCCTGGGGCCTCCTGTCCTGGAGCCTCGCCTGGCCTCCCGGCCTCCTGGGACCTCGTGGGGCCCTTGTGAGCCTCCTTGGGCCTGCTGGGGAGGAGTTGTGCCCCAGGAAGACAGACAGGCATACAGTCCCGCGGAAGGCACCTACGCGGGTGCAGCGGGTTGGCGCCGGGGCGCGTATGTTGGCCTCTCAGACTCTGGAGTTGGTACGTCGAGCAGCCGGGATCAGAAGAGCCGGAGTCGGAGACGGAGAGGCGCTAGACGCCAGAGTCGGACAGAAGAGAATTAGCTGTCTGGAAATGGACCTTGACTACTCATTGTCTTGTAGACCCAGACTCCAAGCTGTTCCATATGTCAGTATCTGCGAGTCGTAGTAACCCTGCAACGTGCAGTGGCGCGTCCTCTACACACCGTCCGATATAGGATAATATGTCGTCCCACCACCTGGTCTTTTGCCGGCCAACACGTTGTTGTGTACGTATGTGCGTGTCACCTTGTGGTTCCCATTGTAGCACTCGTAGTGACCACTCTTTGGCACTGTTTGTAGCAATTTCCCGTACCCATGCCCATTTGTGTTTTTTGACTGTGGGGGCCCAATCATCGGTTCCAAGCTGCGAAATGCGATGCACAGCCTGCTGCGTCGCACGCTTGATCCATTCCGGCCAAGATTCAAGGTCGTCATCCACAGTGCCGTCGATGGAAATGTCCACTCCACCGTCGCTCCCAGAAGAAATATCAGCGTCGTCTGCTGTGCCAGCGTGGTTGTTTCGGTTGGTGTCGCGTGGTAACAACTCTCCTGTAATATTCCGATTGTTTCGCCGTGGGGTCCTGATAATCATTCGAAGCATTTGTCTTTGTGTTCTGCGAACTCTATTTTCCAGTTCCTGTGTGACCGTCCACGCTTCGCACCCGTATAGCATGGTTGGTGTAACTGTCCCCTGGAAAAGTCGGATACGATTATTCATGGAATAACTCCTCCCCGTAGGCTCTGATTTGAAGATCAAGCACTGTTTCCATGCCGCGGCAATCCGGCTTTCGATCTCCATCTTGTGGTACTCGCTGAACTGGAGCTTTCGCCCCAACTATTTCTGGGGGAACGAAAAATGGCATAAGCATAACAACTCGGAGGTCCGCGCGGATTTCTCGGATCGGTGCTGGGCCCCCCAGCGGCGCCTCCGGCGCCGCCCCTGGCGCGCTCCGCGCGCCAGCGAGGGGGGTCCAGCGCCGATCCGAGAAATCCGCGCGAACCTCCGAGTTTGTATGTTTATGCCACTCTTTGTTCCCCTAATTTCGTGCCTTGGAATGGCGGCAACACCTCTATCTTCGTGCCGTTCACGGATACGTTGTTCGGTGGCTGTCGTGCTCGTTTTTGCAGGTGTCCATTGTGTAATACTTTGGTCTTGTCTGGATGGAGGTGGAGACCCGTTCTGGTGCCCCAGGAAGGAGAAGCCCAACACATATATATATATATATACATATATATACATATATATTTATATAATGTCTCTCTCTCTATATGTATGTGTCTCTCTCTCTATATATATACATATACCACTTAGGATTGGGGCCACAGGAGAGGCGCAGTCTATAGGAAAACCCGTAAACCAACAGGGAATCGTGGCCCAGGGCATAGGAAAACGTCAAGCTATAGAAACGTACGTAAGACATTACATAATCCTGCCCCAGTAAAGGGCCTAATCGATAGGAGCATACGTAAAAGACATTGGATTGGAGCCACTCCTGTGCGTAAGTCTGAGTGTGAGTGAGTTTGGGTATGAGTGTGATGAGCACGAGTCTGGGTCTAAGTGAGCCTGAGCACGAGTGAGTTTGAGGATAAGTGAATCTGAGACATTCTCGCCCTCTGGGCCCCTCGGGGTGTAGAAACCGACACCTCACCCGAGACATCCCCATACTTACTCAGAACCCAGACGAATGTGGCCACCAAGCAATACGCACACTGCTCGAGACATCCTCAACATCTGCCCCCCTCCCCCCCCGGGGTGCGAAAACCCGCGCTTCGCTGAAGACATCCTGAACATCTGTTCCGAAAGCGGATGCTGTCGGGTGGTGAAACATGCGAACCTTTTGAGACATCCCGCCATTTTGGCGCGAAGGGAGGAGTGCATTACCCCCTGGCCTCTCCCTTGTGGGGATGCTGAAACCCGCGCCTCGCGCGAGAGATCCTCAGAATCTGCTCCGCCATCATCACCATCATCATCATCATCATCATCATCATCATCATCATCATCATCATCATCATCATCATCATCATTATCATTATCATTATCATTATCATTATCATTATCATTATCATTATCATTATCATCATAATCTGCTTCTGCAGCACCATCGTAAGATAACATCACATCGTAACCATAACAACACACACATAGTATTCAATCACGTACCATACGATAACACAACATATCAGCGGAGTAGTAGCAAGAGCCCCATCTTTTGGAGATGGGATATACAAGCACAGAAGCGACAGAGCAACGAGAGAGTATCCCCCCCGTCATCCCCTCTCCTTCATTCGGACGGGGCCAGGACGAGGATACGTCCGCTCCAGGGCGTTCTAGAACGCTCCCAGAGCGTTCCGGAACGCTCTGAGAAGGCTGCGGCGACGGAGACATTTTCCAGAGCCGCCTGAACTAAGAGATTCTCGATTTAGCCTCCCCCAGTTTTATCATCGTCATTGCTTCGTCTCATTCACCTTGATTTGCCCTCAGGGTCTGAGGCACGCTTAGGGCCCGTCTTTCTGCCACCACCTGCTGCCCGGACAGCGAAGGCCCCTCACACAAACGCGGGCTTCTTGGCATCGCTCGGGCGTGTGTACTGTGGCACGGCGAGGACCATCGGGGAGCCTCCTGGATCATCGAGCAACAGAAACTCGCACGAGACCGAACAATGCCCGGGGACTGGACGTCTGAGCGATGGCGATGCTTGCGCCCGTCGCTCGCGCGCCTCTAGTCGTCGAGGTCCGAAGGTTCGGTCCATCGCCCGCCTCTCCGGGCAGAGGAAAGAGCCACAACCAATGGGGACGGAATGAATGGATGCGAAGATCAAGGGAGGACAAAACTTCGACCCCGATCAGCTGAGTTCACTAAGCGGCCCTGGACGTTTGCTAAGCAGCCCTGCCCTTTTCGGTTCCTTCTTTAGTTGCTTTTTCTGAATTGCTTCGCTTGTCGTGGACAAGGC